CACCGCCCGCGCACCAGCATATGCGCGCATTGCATATATCACTACAAACACGTACGGTGCGCGCACACTCACACTACGGCAATACGCACACACACGTTTACACGCAGCCCGGGCGCGCACTAAATTTTTCAACTTTGACGCGGTGTTGTGATTCGTCGAGTGTGTTCTTACGTGAGGTTGCGATGATTCATATGTAATACGTTTCGTTTTAGCTGTTTCTGATTAGGCTGCTTTTTGATTTCGCTCATCAGGCACTTGAAGCGGTCTCAATATAAAAAAATTAATGTAAATAACATAAAGCACTACATGTACCAAAGTCTTAACGTTTCTCTCGTCTATTTCGCCTAATAATCACGCTGTAAAGCGTCGCGGTCAATGGCTCATGCTGCTACACACAGAGAGTACACGCGCACGTCCGCGCTGTGCACAAAGCGAATCTAATAAGAGCATTAAATGAGACACTCCTCTTATATTTCGATGTGTGTTTGTTGCAGCGAGCGCGCCACGTGTCGGTGATAGCTTGATCTTACAACACATTAAGTGGTAAATAAACAGCGAAATGTACCAAAGTCTTACGTTTTCCTACTCTATATTTCGCCTATAATCACCTGTAAATGCCGGTCAATGGCTCATCGCTGTCTACACCACGATATACATCCGGCTACGTCCGCGCTGTGCATCAAAGTCAACAACATGAATCACAGAGATATTATAATGAGTAAGGCTGCTCTTATATCATGATTGTTTCTGACACATGGCGCGGACGTGCGTGTAAGCTTGTGTGTTTGCAGATAGCATTTGACCGCATTTACCGGTGAGTTATAGGCGAAATAGAGTATAGAAACATTAAGACTTTGGTACATTCGGTGTTTATTTAGCATTGCTTTTTATTGAGACGTTCCCATAGTGCCTATTGATTTCTTATCTGTCCAACCGAATTACTCAAATTATCGTATCATTTTTCAATTATACCCGGCGGCTGTTAAGAAAATGGAGCCCATGAAAAAAGGAGCCATGGAAAAAGCGGCAATAGCCGCTCCCGACATCATACGATGGCCAAACGACTCCCTAATAAACTCGTTATGTCGTACTATCTAGCGGCATTTAAATCGGCATTTGATGCTATACACCTTCCGATCCAAATAACATCTGATTTTGATTTCTTACAGCTCTAGCCATTAAAGTCCTTTTGCAGGCTATGCTGCGATTCGCTTCTCATGTTAAGCCATTTTCAATTTATCTTTTGAAAATCTTTCTTTTGTATATAAAGTCGCTATGCTCTTTCTTTATTTACGTGCGCGCCATATCTCATTATTATATTATGGAGTATGGCTATCGCGCTGTTCATCTTTCTCTCGTCTCTGCTCTCTTCTCGGTCTCGTCTCTCTCGCATCCGTCTCCTCTCTCTCTCTTTCTCTCTCTTCTCCCTACGATCTCATCTCTTCTCGTCTCTCATCTCTCTCTCTCTTGCCTTCCTTCCTCTCTCTGCTCGTCTCCTCACCTCTCTCTTCTCTCGTCTCTTTCTTTCTCTCTCCTCTTTCTCTCGTCGTCCCTCTCCCTCTCTCTCTCTCGGTCTCTCCCGTCTCCTCTTCCTCAGTTGGATCCTTCTCTCTCTCTCTCATCCCCCTCTCTCCGTCTCTTCTGCTCTCTGCCATTTCTCCTCTGCGTCTCTCTCGTCTCATTCTCTCTCGTCTCTCTCTCGCTCCTTCTCTCTCCTCGTTTCGTCTTCTCCTTCCTCTGTCTTCTCCTGACTGTCTCTACTCTGCTCTTCTCTCTGCTCTCTTCTCTCTTCTCTCTGTTTCTCCCCTCCCTACGTCCTCTACCTCTCATCTCTCCCGGCTGCTCTCTCTCGTCTCTCCCTTCCCCTCTCTCTTCTTCATCTATCTTCTCTATATTGCTCCCTCCTGCCTCGCCCTCTTCTCTCTCTCATATGCGGTTCAGCCCCACCCAAAACACACACACACACACACACACAACACACAGCACACACACACCCACAGCTCCAGGACACACAACACCACACACCACAAGCAACACACACACAAAGCCACCAACACAGTGCACGCACACACACCCACACACACCACACAACATCAGCACAGCACAACATCACACTCACACACACTACACGGACACACACACACACACGCACACAGCACACGCACACGCCTGGTCAACGCGCGAGCGGCGACACGAGCAGCACGCAGCACGCACACGCAAAGCGCACAGCACAAACTGCACACACGCAGGCACACACAGCACACACACGCACACACACCAACACAAACCAGGGCACGCACAGCACACACGATGCACCGACGCACACCTGCCACACGCACACGCACACGCACACGCACACGCACACGCACACGCACACGCACACGCACACACGCACACACGCACACACACATACACACACGCGCGCGAGCGCACACAATGATAATAAGATATGAATCTCTGAAAAAAACGTTTAACGTTTGCAACTGATTTAACGTTGATTTATTAAACCTACAAAATGCACATTACTTGACATTAATTCCGCTCCCGGTCCGCCCCACATATACATAAACGACACATTGTTTTTGTTTGGTTCCCCGTACCCTGGCGGAGACAGCGAAAACTAACTATTCTTCACGTGCAAGGAGCTACATAACCATATATAGGTATATGTAGCTCCTGGCTCACGTGATGCCCGCATGCTATCTAGAAATGTACAAGCATTTTTGCGTGCCTTCATGATCTCGCCGCCATATTGAATACAGCTGCATGCGAAGTATCACGAAGTTTTGCGTTAAAATGTAATTTCAACGCGTCCGCACTACTTATTACTGCCAGACACGCATTCGCAAAGGTAGGAAACCGCTATAACATTTTCTTAGGATTACGAAGAAGTGATACGACTATACCGTTAAACGTTGAAATACGGCCAAAGTAACAAATTTTGTTTCACCGAATTCAATCGCGACTCCCCCGCATTGCGCTCAGCTGTTAGGCTGTCGGCCGCTGTTCATTTCAAATCGTTGTATGCAAACTTTCCTGCTTCTTTTCGATTGGAATTTACATCACGTTGAGGTTCGATGTATAGGCTTGACGACGTAGTCTCTATTTTTATGAAATTAAAAAGATAAATGCGTGCGGTAACGCGACGAAGATCGGAGCCGCATTGCTAACTTCAAATGCCTCTATAACTATAGCTGATAGGGTCTATGTCTCCCTAGGCCTAGGTACTGCCGAAAAGTACCCTGGTTACGGTCCGGTATACCGGAACGTACCCTGGTAACTATCTGATATGGTTAGGGTTAGGATTAGGATTAGGGTTAGGGTTAGGGAGTAGGCGTAGGCGACTCCCTAGACTCGTTACTGGAGTAGGCGAGGTACGGTCCGGCATATTAGATAGTACCAGGGTACGTTCCGATATACCGGACCGTACCCAGGGTACGTTCCGGCTGTACCCAGGGAGACATAGACCCTGGCAGCCTAACTATACAGCAATGTAAACACACGTACACGGTACTATGCCGTAGATTTACATACGCAGTTAAAATCACGATCACTATAGTTCTATCGGAAGGCAATTGGACTAGGAGAAAAATTGACGTTAACCAGCGATGAACGGTGTTAGATGTAGCTCTAGAACTATAGCCCTTCGCTCTGCCAAGGCTCCTGTACATGTGGCAGAGCGAAGGGCTATAGCTCTAGAGCTAGAGGTGGTGAGGTAGCTTAGAGGGTGCTAATTGACTAGATGGTGGGAAGAAGAACTCATTGACAATTTACTATTGAACTGCATGCGATTTTACCCTATATGTTATCTCAGTCTTCGCAAAGTTTCTCCATATGTTTGGCACTTTGACCCATGGCTTAACTATAGGTCTGCATTAGTTACATTTAGTTTGTAATTTACGTGTGTGAAGTGTGTGATATAATGTATCATTCAGCGAAGCACGACGAGAGGCGAATAGTTGACACACACACACACACACACACACACACACACACACCACAGGCGGCGTCACTAGGTTTGGTGTCACACCGGTGGCGGTGAAAATCAATGGTGTCCACCTCCCATGGACCCTCCTCCCGTACCGAGACCATTAGCAGAATTCCTCTAGTATTGTGTTTTTGTCTAAATGAATCCCCCTGCTATTATTTCCCCCGGGTAAAGAGAGATTGTATTACTCTCTGTCAAAATCGTAATTCTCGTAAAAGTAAATTAACATAGTTTTAGCCTTGTAGGTATACTAATACAGTACATGTAAGCTGGGCTAGCTTATGAAAAATGTTTTTGATATTATAACTAACTACCTGAATATTTTTATAAAGAATAAAAATTTCTGCTGAAACACCGCACAGACAGTCAATGTTAGTAAAAGTTTTATAGACAGTCAATGTATTATTTACACCCCCTATGATGGGGCCCCTGACACACATGTGAACCACGTGAAGGACGTAAATGCGACGATAAGACGCCGCTGTTATGCAGCATACCCTGGTCGTCGACTGCACTACGATCTCACCACACCGATGGAGAACCTCGCTCGTTCTCACTCGGTATCCAGTCATGTACGGTATATAACTATGAGCAGATCGGTCGGTATACTTCCGGGGCTGGCGCTTGAAGAGACACTAATAGCAAAAGGAGATAATCGTTCATGCGGGTACCGATAAGTCGCGTCTTGACTTTTATCGGCAAAAATACATGGTACGTGGCTGAGGGCAGAGTGGTGGGGGGAGCAAAAAGGGGAGTGCGCGAGGAAGAGAGCAGAGAGAGAGAGTGAGTATGAAAAGAGAGAGCACGAGAGAGAAAACGAGAGAGAGTCTCTCTGTGTGTGTGCGTGTGTGTGTTTGTGCGCGTGGGTGTGTATGTGCATACGTGTGTGTGTGTAGTGTTTGTTTGCGTGTGTATTGTGTGTGTTCGTGTGTGTGTGTGTGTGTGTGTGTGTGTGTGAATGTGTGTGTGTGTGTATGTGTGTGGTGTGTGTGTGTGTGTGTGTGTGTGTGTGTGTGTGTGTGTGTGTGTGTGTGTGTGTGCGTGTGCGCGTGCGTGTGTGTGTGCGCGTGACCAAGCGTGTGCGAGTGATGTATAAATACTCTGCTGCGTTGCGCTATCAATCGTCTTCACTCATCTGTTTCGGTCGGAAAGCTGAAATATGCGCTCTCGCCGACATTTACTGTGAATTTCTTGCACATCGTATATTTTTTAACGCGCGCGGCTGCCAGCGAAAACGAACGAAGCCATCACGAGGCGAAACTTATTTCAATTCTGTTCAGGAATAGCGTCGTATATTGAATTACAGCGCTGAGTTCGTGGATCCTTCCCCCCCCCCCCCGTCTCTCTGCGCCTCTGCTCTCGCGCTCCTCTCCGCTTCTCGTCTCTCTCTCCCTTCTCAGATAGGAAGAGAGAGAGATAGAGATTAGAGAGAGTGGGGAGAGATATGATATATATATAGAAGAGAGAAAGAGAGAGTGAGAGAGAGAGCGGGGTAGAGGAGGAGTGAGAGTGAAAGAGAGAGAAAAAAAAGGGAGAGAAGGTGAGCGAGGAGAGAGAGGAGAGAGAGAAAGAAAGAAAGAGAGAGAGAGAAGAGAGGAAAGAGAAAAGAGAGAGAGAGAAAGAGAAGAGAAGAGAGAGAAACGATGGAGGGGAGAGAGAGACAGAGAGGGGAGAGGGGGAGAGAGAGAGAGAGAGAGAGAGAGAGAGAGAGAGAGAGATAGAGAGAAAGAGAGAAAGAGAGAGAGAGAGAGGGTAGAGAAGCATCAGAAGAGAGGGGCTGTACTGCGAGAGATGGTCTTGTGAACATCTCTCGGGGAGCGCGCCTGTTAGCCGCGCTCGGGCTCATCATAATGACGACTTCTATACCGCCGGGCGCTGTTCTAACGTGTAAGACAACGGTCGCCATTTAGAAAGGACGGGGCGGGGAGGAATGGGGCCGACCTGGCGGCATATAGGCAGGTTAATTACTGCAACGTGGCTGCGTTTAAATGCTTTTTTTACACCGCGCTCAGAGTTTTAATGGAGACTTGCGAGCCTGGAGAGGAATTTATGGCAAAGAAGGAACAGAGGAGGCTAGCTCGAGAGTAGTGAAAACCTGGCGTGGTTATGGCAAATATCATCATCATAAAGTTAATAGTCCCTTGATGTGCAGATGCTGGGGTCTGTTATAATATAACACAGCGCTTTCCTCCTAGCACAGGCACACACACACACATCACACACATATATATATATATAATATATATACTATATATATCCTATAATAATAATATCAAGAGCATATAAAGAAGTAGATACAATAATGTAACCCAAACCCAAGAGGATAGGGGGTCCTCTTGGGTTTGGGTTACATTATTGTATCTAATAAAGAAGGTGCGCGTGCGTGCGTGTGTTAATGCGTGTGCGCGCGTGCGTGCGTGTGTGTGCGTGCATTGGAGCACGCATAATAAACAACTTGTATCTTGTGCGGAAATACAGCAGTAGCTAGCATCATTAGTGGCACATAGATTGTTTTTCCGAGAACTTGACAAAACATTTTCTCGGCTTAATCGTGAATGGACGCGCGTAACCATTGGCACGGTCACAGCTAACGCACGAGGTCTCCTTCACCCTAGGGTCATTCTGTGCGGTTCCAGATGACATTATCACTCAGCGTTGAAATGTTGCGTTATCCTGGGTTTACATTACCGACTTATGTTGGCGAGGATTGGCCGAGGTGGACACCATTCGCCAACTGCGGGCGACTCCGAGTTTAGAAAGCGAAGATCAGATACATGTTCTAATCTCCCAACTAGTTGCCCCGCCTGAATATACCGATAATCAACCACAACCCTCGGCCCCCGGGATTGGAGGTGAAACAAGCAGGTGCAACCAGGAAGAGAAAACGCCGCGTCATGCATCCCACACCCTACTACCCGGTTCCCCCTCCGTCCTCCTCCCTCTTCCCTCTCCCTCCTCTTCCTCTCTCCTCCTCCCACCTGCCCCTCCTACCCACCCTCTCCTCCCCTCTCTCGCCTCCTCCTCCCCACCCCTCCACTCCGCTTCTCCTTCCTTCCTGCTCTCCTCCCTGCCTCCCCGCTCCACCTCCTTCCTTTCACCTCCCATCTCTTGTCGCTCCTCGCCGTCCCACCTCCCTCCTCCCTCCTCCTCCTCCCTCCTCCCACCTCCTCCGCTCCTTCCTCCCTCCTCCTCCTCCCACCTCCCTACTCCCGCCTCCCTACTCCCACATCCCTCCTCCCTCTTCCCTCCTTCCTCCTCCCACCTCCCCCCCTCCTCCCACAATCCACTATCAGCAAGCATCGTACATATTGCTCCGCACAAGACGCTCCTAGTGAGAAGCAGCCCTTCTCTCTCGCTTAGACGAGTATTTACTCGTGCTTAGGAAAACAAACGCATCTGGATGAGCAGCTGAGTGATGGGTCAGAGTGGTGCTGCAGCCAGAGATCGCGGAGCTGGCCAGCACTGCTACAAGCATGTGCTACAGCCTACACGCAGCCCCGCACTCCACCCCTGCTTCCCTTATTCATATATGTAAGCATATGTCGGTCGGTCGGTCGGTCGGTCGGTCGGTCGGTCGGTCTGTCGGTCGGTCAGTCGGTCGGGGTACGGGCGAAGAAATTAAACTATGCGCTCAGATGGTGGAGCAATTAGACAGCATAGAACTGAAGAGCTTAGCAGAAGAACTACCGAGGTTAACCTCCGGCACTGCCTGCGCGCCTTAAGCCTAGCGCAGACCTGCGATTTTTGGTTGCTCGTCGCTGCAACCTGCAACCGCGAGCGATCGGTCGATGTGTCACCGCGTGTGCACACGCATGCGATTTCGAAGCAATTCTAGAGCAATTTGGGAGCGATTGGGAGCGACGAGTCGCTCAAAATCAAAACACTTTGATTTCTTGCACATTCCCGCAGACGTAGTCACAGGTCAGCGCTAGACTTTATCACCGCGGTGATCATCGTCTTGCGGAGCTGTGACACTACAGTACACCGAGGCAAAAACGTAGAAACACCGACAAATAGCGCACTATTTACTGATTAAAATCGTCAGCTACTTACTGATTGTTATTAATTGTTAATTATTGTTAATTATTGATCAGAGTCCGAACGACTTCTGCACAAAAAGGCCTAGTCATGCCCAAGAGAAAGAGAGTGAGTGAGTGAGAGTGAGAGTGAAGAGTGAGCAGAGAGGAGAGAGAGATGAAGAGCGAGAAGACAGAGAGAGAGGAGGAGGAAGAGAGAGAGAGAGAGAGAGAGACGCAGAGAGAGAGAGAGGAGAGAGAAAGGAGGAAGAGAGAAGAGAGAGCCGAGAGAGAGAGAGAGAGAGAGAGAGAGAGAGAGAGTGAGAGAGAGAGAGAGAAGAGAAAGAAGAGAGAGAACATGAATATATATAATAATAATATATATATATAATATCTTAATATGATATTTGAGTTCGTATGTATTGTAAATGTATGTATGAATGTATGTATGTATGTAATGATATGTATGTATGTATGTATGTATCTTCCGCGTATAGGCGGCGCCAAACGCCCCCAAGGCGAATGCTGGATTGGAATATTTCAACAGGGGCATCCTCACTTATAACCCGGGAGTGTTCTTAGACCAAAAAAACCTGTCAACGCGTCAAACTCACGCGAAAAATCTCGTAAAAAACCCCGTCCATTCGTAGGCACTGTAAGTAGCTGCCACACAGAAAACATCGATGACTATTTCTTGGCCAATCGCCTTCATCAGGCTGTTGCTATTGTGAAACCGAAACCAGTCGCACGCTCCAGCTATAAAGCAGAGCACAGCCAGGACAGGCTCAGAGGTTTACGATTGCATTGTTTTATCAGAGGGCTTTCTCAATAAGAAGTGCCAACTCATTGTACATTGCTTTCGTGGCGCGTACGTGCCATACGTTACATGCCAGTACGTGGGCAGCCTCAAACAGTTCCAGCACACTGACACCGGGAATCTTTACATATTTCACGCTAGAGAAATAACATAAAATACATTTGTTTATCAAGAGGTTTTCAAATGAAAACTGGCAACTTACTCGTACATGCTGTTATAATAACTTTTTCTCATTTACACCATATTAACTATTATGTTCCAGGGGTTCTAAGTTGGGTTGTGCTGTCACATAAATGTCATAGCGTAACAGTTTTTTCCCCCATGCTAAATTGTAAATTTCAATATTCTGTGCAATGTTATTGTCTCGATGTTTTAGCCCAATGTTGCCTATTGTCGCGATTATGAATAGTAATGAATTAGTACGCACGATTTTACCCAGTCGCAGGCGGGTAACCCGCAGCTAGTATATATATATAGTATATATATTTTCATTTATTAAGTTTATCGGCTTTGCCAGCGGCATCTTGCTCTCTCCCTATATAATCATATCATATACTATATATACTATATATATATATATATAATATATATATATAATATATATAGTATACAATGACGTGATGTAGATGCATACGTACATTATAATATAATAACAGACACTGACAGGCAGAGGCAGAATGTGTGATGAGCAGGGCGGTGGGTTTCAACATCTCCCAATTGCATCTGCCACTATGTATGTGCTGTCACCAACTAGCATCGTCACTAGTAGCAGCATTTCCATCTTCGCATGAAGGAGACACTCGCGCGCCGTCGGAGATAATGCCTAATTAATTTTTAATTAATTATTTAGTAAGACGTTGGCGGTTATCGATCGGGCCGGCGGCGCTGCATGCGTGCATTAGCCGACAGTCGAGCGTGCAGCCCGCAGCCTCACGGGAAGCTGAAGCGCCGCAGCGAGCGTGAAAAGACGAACCTGTGAAGATGTAAGACTCGTGGTGAGCGTGAAGCGCTGCCGCGAGAAACTCATGCAACTAATATACATTCCCTGTCGCTAATGGACGGGTATTTGTTTGTAGGGACTCGCGGTATCCGCGGAGTTTGTAGCAGGAAGCGCCGCGCTCGGCTGTCTAGAGCCGTGGGCTGAATCGTGGGGAGGCGCCGCGCCGCAGTGCGTGCGTGCGTGCGTGCGTGCGTGTGTGTGTGTGTGTGTGTGTTGGATGTGTGTGTGTGTGTGTGTGTGTGTATGTGTGTCATGTGTATGTCCGCGCGTGTGTGTGCGTGCATGCATGTATGTATGTATGCGCACGCGTGTGTGTTTGTAAATGTGCGTGCATGTATGTGTGCGCACGCGTATGTGTCTTGCGTGCATTTAACGGCGTGAGGTGTATATGCGGCATGGTTTAGTAACGGACCGTGTTTGATTCTTGCCAGTGCGTTCACCTTCATCCTACTATACATCTCACTAATGTAATGAGAACATCAGTATCGATTTAATATAGGCTGCTGTGTAAATAATCTAAACGTGAACAGCGCTGTGGCACCTGGCAGTTACATACAATCTCGTACCAACCGTTAGTGTACATTAGCTGCATGTATTATTTAGCCTTTGATATATATACTACTTATATATATATATATATATATATATAATCAAGGAGTACATGAATAGGGATTGTATGTAACTCTGGCATTATATAATATTTATAGATCGGATTATAGCATATTTACTACCAAGTTTCCGCGCGACGAAACGACTAGTTATATATAAATAAATAAATATATATATATATAATAT